ACAGTCTGCGCTTTCGATTTGCAGAGTATAAATGTATCGTCTACATAACGTATATACATCTCGACTTCGTTGATGTGCGTTCTTAATACGTTATGCTCCAATTTTGCCATAAAGATATCTGCTAGGAAGGGTCCCAATGGTGAGCCCATGGCAACTCCATCAATTTGACGATACATCTCCCCGTTAAAGGTGAACTGCACGTTTAAGGTGCATCTAAGTAACAATTCCTTCAGGAGGTTTTCCGGGATATTTATAGGTACAGGCAGTTGCCGTACTAATTCGCAGACATATTCTACTGTTTCCAACAACGGAATATTCGTAAACAACGACTGCGCATCAAATGACGACATCCATTTGTTGTTAAGGTTCACATCCCTTATCTTCTCAATGAACTCGAAAGTGTCTTTCACGCAGTAAGTGCAGACAGTTTTACGCAGCGGTTCCAGCTTTTCAACCATCCATTGGGCTATCAAGTGTTGCGGAGAGCTAACCATATCCAGGATGGGACGCATTGGAGCGCCCTCCTTGTGTACTTTAGGGAGGCCGTACAACCGTGGCAGATGTCCGCCTGAAGGTCTCAACTTTTCGAATTCGCACTTTGTGATAACATTCTCTTTCATCATTCGTCGGAGCAAATCGGTCATTTGTTTTTCTAACTCTTCTGTATTATCCTTTCCTAATGTTAGCTTTTGAAACTTACGTTCATCACTAAGAATATGTTGCATCTTACTAACATAATCAGTTCTATTCATTAGAACTATACCAGAACCTTTATCCGGCTTAGAGATAATTAACTCTTTGTTTAACCATAACTCTCTAAGTGACTGCATATGTTCGCTTGTAAGTAAACCACTACTGGCTGGTCTAGCCTTAATGTAATCATGGCAGGTGTTTACTAAGCTAGATAACATGTGCTCAACGTCCCCTGGCGAATTTGATGACAGGTCGCGCGCCTGCGCTATTAAGCTCTCAAATTGCACCTCTAATGCAGCCTGATCAACTTTTTTTACAAGGGATGCAAAACTTAGGGCCTAATGACAACACATTTAGTTGTGTTGGGCTAAGCACGATACTAGAAAGGTTAAACACGTACCGTTCCGGCTTATCTGGAAAGTTCAGTTGCGGCACTTGACTATTTAGCGAGCTAAGCAACTTCTTTCTTTTCTGTGCACCCCTTTGCTTTTTTACTTGTTCTACGTATGCTTCAAAAGGTTTTCGAAACTCTTCCGATAAGCCCATGACGGCATGCATTCGTTGTGAGATGAATCTTTCCAGCTCCGATAATTTCGTGCGAATGTTATCCATATAGTTGAGAGTGTGCCGCCTCAAATTGCGCACATTAGGGTACAGACCACAGTGCGGCTGATGCCCTGTCCAAACGCCTGAGAGACACTGTTGAAAAGACCTATTTCGCGGCTCGCCTACGCATAGTATTTCACAACAAGCCTTTATTCGCAAAACATTTGAAAGACAGGCTGCCTCCGGTGACCCGATCAATGCTTGTTTATCTTTACTCGTGCTCCTGTGGGGCACGATACGTGGGTCGTACCACGAGACGCCTATCTCATAGGATTCGCGAACACATCCCAAAATGGTTTTACAAAGGCGAAGCGAGGTCGAGTAACAGTTCCATCCTATCTCACCTTCTAGAGTGCAGTCACGCAGGAACGGAAAATGATTTTAGAGTCATCTATACTGTTCCTGAACGTTTCACGCGCGGATTCCGGATGCATCTTCTGTCTATTGCGGAAGCTATCTACATCCGCCATCTCAAGCCAGAATTATGCGTACAAAAACAGTTTGTACGTCCTTTACTTCTACCGTGGCCTACAACTTCGGATGTGATTTCCCCTGTACATACTTGCCACCTACAATGACCCCGTGATTTATTGATTTGTACCCATGAAATTAAACATTGTGTTCAATACGGGTTTCACGGGTTACTTACTAGATGTGATATAGCGCCGCTTCCTATAACATTCAACTCTTCCTACTACTCTTCTGTAATCAGTACACAGACCAAACTATTTATAATGCCATGAGTTAATTGGCGGCTTAAGTTTGGTAAGCTCGTCGCTTGGTGAGGGAGCTACCCTGTCCTCTGCACGGCAGTAACGTGTAAGTCAGGGGATAGTGAGCGGCGCTATATCACATCTAGTAACTTATTCACGATGGTCGTTGCCGTCCCCCGTAGCTCAGTGGTCTCAACCACGGACTGGCAACAGTCGGGTTGCGGGTTCGAGCCCTACCAGGGTCCGATGGAATGCGCACTGCTGACGATTCCCGAAAGGATGAAACACGCGTACAGTGCTTTTCCGGGCGTGTGGCGGCTGTCTGAGTGAGCCTAGATGTGATGAATTTCTTCCTATAACATTCAACTCTCCCTACTACTCTTCTGTAATTAAGAAAATAAGTAAAATTTAACTTAGATGGAATAATATCAGCTAGATACAAGAAACCGAGTAAAGGAGCGCCACTGGTGCGGAAAATCATGAACTTCCCATCCATATAGACGGCACGCACCGGTCTGACCAAGATTATTGTACCTTTATGTCACGTCATCAAATGGCCACCTCACGGTTTCGCCCAACTAGTTGCAATGAGAGCACGTAATGCACATCGAGGAAGGCGGTCAACAGGCATACGGTGAACTTGCTCTAGCCAGCCTAAGCGATATGCCTTATCAAACGCTCCAGTAGGAAACCAGATGGTTTCTTCCCAACTACCGATGTTACCACCAAGTGTGAGTAATACTCCGCAAGCACTGGTCAATCCCTTAATGTCTTCAGTGTAAACGTATAGCGAGAACGACGCGCGGAAGGTGGGGGCAGAGAGACTTCATAAGGTAAAGAAGTTTTCTTGGTACGTCCTTCATGGTTAGGCAGTGTTGTAAGTTGGTTCGATCAACCAACTCGAATGTGGCTTCCGAATCAATTAAACTACCATAGTCGGTCATCTGCAAGTGTCTCAGCTCTAACGGTTCACGAAGAGCAAATAGGCAGGCGATGCGACCATGACCCGAGTAGACGTCAGCCTGATTTTTAATGATTCGGCTCTTACGAGGATCAGTAAAGTGTCAGAGAATGATACCCTTGAAAAGTCTGGAGATAATAGAAAGACGGTTAATGTCCCGGTAATTTTCGCATTAAATACGTTGACACTTTTTGAGAGATGGGACGACAGTTTACAGTCTGGCAGCTGCTGACCACTTAGTTGTTGAGGTGCGCAACAGCAGGCACCAGCTCGATATGGGAGCCGCAAAATCTCCTAGAAGCAGACTCAGCACCTGCGACAACGAATGCGCCGCCATTCCGCCACTGTTGTCGTGCTAACGGCGTTTGGCATATGCCAGTTACCCTTAACGCAGATGCATTGACAAGTGAAGAGGATTGCACTGGAAACTGATTAGAGGAATAGCGTCTGACCACGAACCAGTTTTAGCAACGTAATTGTGGACATTGAATCAAGTGAATTTCTGGACAATTCCACGTTGGAATTGAACCCAAAGTGACTAGCGGATGTATATCCGGAGCTTGATGCTAATCCAAGTGTAACAGAGAACCCAGTTAAAGTGGTATTTGCATGCGAATACTTTGCTTGAGCGCTTGTTAAGAATACAAGTACATTCCATTAGTCGTGTATAACACGACCAGATAAGGACCCCAAGCAGGGGGAGCTTCACTAGCATACTGGACCAGTGCTAGCCATCATCAGCGTCAGTGCTGACTTATTTTCAATAGTGATCGTTTCTGATGGTGGTCGCCAATCATGATTGTTAGTATCAAACAGAATCAGAGGAGGCCATGTGAAAGTAATCCGGAGCTACGCCTCACCAATGTCTCCTTCAAACTGTTCTTCCCATCCGAAATCTCAGTGATTCTCGGGAAAACCAGACCGGCGTCCGCCGCAGTTTGAGATGCATTAATAACATATGTACACATCATCAGGCTTTTCAGTGGCACTAAATGTATAAACTACTTAATATAGTGTTTTGAAATAAAGACCAATTTCGACAATTGATCACGTCTGTTTGTAGATGCACTGCAGAGTCAGTTATTTATTTTGATTTTCACACTATTCCTCCCCGGGTCGCGTACACTTCAAATTGTGATCGAACTGGCGAGATCGACTCTAGCTTGATTGGGTCCACTGCAGCTAAAGTTCCACAAAGTAACCGATCTGCAAACAAGTACGCAGATGATACGGCTTCTATGGGATAGGACCCAACTCTATCAGAAGCGTAGCTGAATGCCATGACAGCGAGCAAAGGACGCTTCGGCACATGAAAGTTACCGTTAAGGTCCAGATGCTACTAGTTCTTCGAAACAATAAAATCACACTGGCTAGATGGCTGCCATATCTGGTGGTCAAATCAGCGACACGGCTTCTCGAAAAGTAGTCACCAGTACAGATGGTGATGTCAGTTTAATTGTCGGAGGCTGTGTGAGCAACCCTGCAAATGCTGTGCACTGAAAACGTTAAAGACTGGTTAACTATGACCACCGATCCTGAAGATGTTGACCATATTCGGTGGATGACGCGAGCAAATAATGCTGATATCCATTACACTGGGTGAGCCTTAGTGTTGGTGCGTCGGTGTGGTGATAAAAGGACATGAACAATGTGATCAAAAAACACTCGAACCATGAGTCTCGTGATTGATCGTACTTGTGGGTAAGGAGCCTATTGCGAATTCGGTGGTTTTTGCATTCCGATCATTGATTATAACAAAACTGTGCCATCCGGATATTCTGAAATATTTTCTACCTTTTTATTTCCGGAAGTATTTTGTTTTACTGTTATGACTATGCGAGTCAAGGTATCATGCTGCATCACAACCAGGATCGTATTCGTTTGACCGAACTGAAACGATTACAAGCTATCTTCCAAGCTAACAAGGATCCATCAGCATCGCAGGAACTGATTGCCTCAACCTGTAGATAGCATTTTAGCGTGAAATTTTTTCCATATGATCCCACCTACATGCATTTTCCCCACAGGTTCTATCACCCAAAAGAAACCGGCTCGGTAGGTTCACAGATTACATACATCAAAGGCGCTCTGTTTGCTACGGCACACTTAGACGAGAACGAGGCTCGGTGCATCAACCGTCGGGTCACCGTGCTCACATCTTATGCCGAATATCGCCGGCGGATGGGGACTATCGAGTCGAAGACAGATGCAAATCGGAATGATGGCGTTGGACGGAAATCAGTAAGTTGACTGAAGGTTGTTCAGTATTTCTAAAAAAGTGCGTGAACTACTTGCTGAGTTTAGCAATTGTGTTGCAAACATTCCGTCCCTAGTCGAGGTGACACGTCAGATCAACTGTGGACGCAGGTCCAATTGATGAACAGAAAGTCGCTTAATATTACGGGACGATTTCCACGGGTCGCATTGCATGACGCGTGCCAGATGGTAGCATCCAAAGTAGTGGCATGATGAAAGCCTGTGTGACAACGATGGTGAGAGGCGTTTCGATCGCTATATCGCTCTTCGGGAAACAAACTCGAAGTTAGTGGAGTATCGAGCTCTAGCTACCGTAGAATCCATTGTGAGTTGCTTGAACAACCCCCTGTAGCGCCTAAGAAGTGATTCGTTAAGATGAATGATTTATCACAGCCAAATACGACCGCGCATGCTTATGACCACCCTTCTTCACTCCCCCTCCCATTGACAAGTGTGATAGAACGCTTCGAACACATTCAAACGCTTGACTTCGCTCACTAAAGATTGCTTTCTTCCTTGTCAGTCTGCATGTACACAACGATTCAGTAGGTTTCAGATGCGGTCCTAGTGACCGAAAGTTCACATCACAATCCATTCAACATGACCCCTGCAACCACTCATTGACCGTTGTGACAAGCGTTGTCTGTGGGGACTCCGGGACTTATGAGTGGAAGTTTCTTCTGACAAACCAACGGTCCCTATTCCGAGTCACAGTCCTGCCATCTCTCCATGATGAGTGCAAATGCATAAGAAACTGGCCGTTGAGTGCAGTGTTTTCGGGTGCCCGCCTGATCATCATCAGGTTCAGCATGCAAATGGGACAAACATCCTTCACAAGGTGGTACCTCTGCACAGATTAACGGCAATAATGATTTCGGAATAAATTTTTGTTTACGAAACATCGGCACAATATACATATATACCTAGTAGAGAACAAGGGGCGGATGCTTTGCGGACCCACGAAGTCTCAGGTGCATCTCTCCCGAGTTTCCGGTTTACCAAGCCAATCGAGTTGTAATCAGCTAACAACCTGGTGACAGTGTTTGCCTCCACTCCCGTAGACCGATGTTCTTAGTCATTGTATCGAAAGCGATATGGTGGGTTCTAGCGCCTTGCTTGGTAGATATGACGTAAATTAGTTGATCAGCTCCGAAAAGAGAAAATGGCAGTCCAGTAATTGTCGCGCAATGCGCCGGAGCTGTTGAACTGATAATAGCTGTGACAAGGTTGCACAAAAATGATCTCCCGTAGTTTGTCTAGATACCTGAAATGTAGAATGTTGGACGAGACTATGGTAAAACACTGGCTGATGGCCCAGTCACTCTATTAAGCGTTAGATGGTGCGCGTCGTTTTTATCCTAAAATATCGGAGGGCATAAAGCAAAAAATGCTCAAATCATTAAGATTTTCGCCATTGATTCTGCAGTGCTCATAAGCATCAGACTGCTGTAGTCGACTGCTCCACAGGAAAGGCACCAAACGACATATACACACGTTACCAAGTGCTTGAACAGTATTATAAATGAATATATCTATACGACCCACCGCTGTCTCCATCTTTGACTTGATAGTCACCTCTGATTCTGTAGCTAGCGCATACTGGTGGGGCCGTCTAGTACCGAAGAGCGTGTAAATTCACTTCAATTCTGAAACCTAAACATACATTTCATGGTCGTCTCAAGGACTACGGGGAAACTCCATCCACTTTCACCACAATAAATATGGTGTACTAAAACAGCCATCGTGATAAACATGGCTCTCCTCAATTAGTGTTTCCACCGGGCGACTGACAGATAAACCTAAACAGAGTTGCTATGCAAGTGTTGCGTGCCTCACATTGCTAAATTGCATGGCACTTGCGCGTAGTTGGGTCAACACGCCGACGGTTCTTGTATCACTCAAACAGCTACCTGGAAGCGGTGGATAAGCTGACCTATCTGAATAGCTGCTACAAGATGTGGTCGAACCACCGAAGCTACCGTGGCAATTAGTAAGGTCCACGCATCCTTCCAGGGTGTAAATCATCGATGGAAATGACAAAATGTTTATATAGCGACGAAAGATGGCATTTAAGCGCTACGATTAGACCAGGCCTATCACGTGGACCATAGAACCGATACGCACTGAACAATCAGGAGACTGGCAGAGGACGTGTGTGGTTACCGATGACGCAGCAGTATTACTCTTATCTGGTGGGATAGTCGAATCAGTCAGTGGTTGTTAGTCGACGAACGTGAAGCTATCCCGCTGGTTTGTCTGTTGAACTCCAGGCGCTTAACTGGATTAGGGAGCGTTTGCCCTTTAGAGCGAAGCTTTGAATCAGTTGATGGCCTGACAACTTGGTTGGGTTAGTTCGATTTGTCTTCATGAACGGCGGTCTTGGGATAGGCTGTGTCACAAACCGTTTCCGTTGTGGTACGATTAATAAATCAGCGGTCCCCCTGAATCTGTCCCGGTACTCCTATTTGGCAGCCCCTCGCCCGATGAGTGATTTTTCGATTTCTCTCCATATGATTCCCATGAGGACCGAATCACTGAAATACAGGCCAGCCTCCGCCCTGGTAGTGGTTTTATCGACCACATATTTTTCCTCGCCAAGTTTTAGAGCAGACACATACAGACGACCGACTACGGTAGCTTTCCTTGACTTGAAAGCCGCCTTCAACTCATTTGACCGTGCCACCTTGCGGCGCTGCTTATTCATGAAAGGCTTGCCGCCTAAATTCCATTATGCAGTCTCTCTACCGCGACTTCCGAGGCTAAAGGTTTACGTGAAACTGTCTCCTGAGTTCCTATTCAACTTTGGTATCGAAATGATCATTTTTTCAGACTGTACCGGAGTAAAGTCCCGCCAAGTGACCGACTGACAAACCTGCGGACGACATACCTCTTCTTGGGTCTAACGCTGTGACTATGCAAACGCCACTGGATAGACTGGCGTGTAACGCTGCACGCTTCGGCATATACTTTGCACCTTCAAAGCACAAAGTACTGTTACAGGACTGGACCAACACACCTCCAGTTCTAGCTATTACCGGTTCAGTTACCTTGGTGGCTGTGTCACATCTGGTAGTTACAGCACTGAGAAAGTTACTTCGCGGATCAGAAAGATCCGTATGGCTTTCGAGACTCAACCATCCAAGGAGACGGCGAGACATCATCCTGTCAGTGAAAGGTAGGGTGTATAACGCTGCGGTAAGGCCGGTCTTACTGTATGGATCAGAGACCTGGCTAGTTTGCAGTGAAGACATTAAACGTTTGGCCGTGTTTGACCACCGGTGCTTGCGTCTAGTGGAAACATCGGGTGAACAATGCTGAGGTCAGCCAGTTGGTCCTTGGCGAGAAGCCTTCTGGTGGCTCTCTTGAGTATTTGCTAAATCTTAATCGATTACGTCGGCTAGGCCATGTCCTCCGCATGCCAATTGACTGGCTTCCTCGGCGCCATGGTTGCACCAAGTTGGGCGAAACCGCGAGGTGGCCAGTCCATAGATGCATGAAGAAATTGACTTAGTCAGGCTGGTGCGTGTCGTCTTCGTGGATGGGGGCCTCGGTATGATCCACACCAGGGGATGGGGACCGTATCAGACATGGCGCAGTCACGCATTCAGTGGCGTTTGCGCATTCCGTTTCTTGTATCTGGCTGTTAACTCCGTTCCATTCTGACTAGTTTAACGTACTTCCTTCTTGCTTACATTTTCTACATTCTATTTGCATTCAGCCCCACTATCTTGACGTTATTTTTGTTATTCTTGCGATGTGAGTCGTGGCAACTGGATCCACCGCACTTCGGTGCTCAGATCACAGTTGTTCAACTGAACTGAACTGTATGACTGCAATTTGTTCCTCATCATGCACACCGTCGTGAAGTATTAATGTTACAGCTAAGCCGGCCATAGCAACAGGATCTATCGCAATTCGGTGCTGATATGGGACCATAGACTTAGATCATTTGCAGCATGTCTGGTGAAGCCAATTATATTAAACCACCTCACGGTCGTAGGCACTTTAAAACTTGAATTCGGAATCATGCAGCGATTGGCTACTTGCATATGTGTCCTGTGCACGCAAGTCCCATCTGATATGTGCATCAAGAAGACGGATCACTTTCGCACACGATCTCTTACAGATGCATGTGTGATACTCCCACAATTTAAGGTTAGAAATGCCTACTATTCCTCAGCAGGTAGTAGATACACCCATTTCGTACTACATCGTCAGAAGCAATGACAATCTATGTGAGTGCGCCTAAGAGTGACTGTGGTTAAGTAAACTTGCGGAGGAAAGCGAATTGCGCAACCGTTGCTCCTATGCTTAGGGAAGTCTAGACTTGAGGAGTCATTGCTTTTGCAATTATACCATTAGTTTGATCCGGCTCTCCGCGATAGCCTCGGAAAAACGAATGGAACAGAAATCATTCTGAGGTTGGGCAGGTTTGAACATTGAAGTAGTCTCGATCCCGTAAACTGCCAGGTGCTCGCTTATCGAGCGAATCAGTGACCCACGTCAATGCGGGGCTTGAGAAACAGAGTAGCTTGACGATCTCACGTTGAACATTTCAAAGGTTATAGATGCACCGGATTTGCACACTGGGTCGACCTAGGTTGGCTGAGCCACATCTACTGCAAACATATAGGACAATTCAAGCACTGGGGTAACTTCTTTGTGTTGCACAGATCATACACTTCGTAGTCGTTTTGGTTTTTCACTGCTGACAACGTATGCTATCATGTTGTGATACAATGCTCCATCTGCAATCTAAAGCTGTATTGGACTAATCCTATCGCACTAATTATCTTAATCCAGTGAACACCAACCAAAATCCTCGGAAGCGATGAGGTATGGTTTATGTTTCAACATTCAGAGTGACTAGTTTCCAGGTAACAAGTGTCAATCAATATGCATAACCACCTAACTTAACGTGTTCTGTGCTCCACTGTTTTTCCCCGCACAGGATGATCCGCATCGCTGTTCCGACGAACCACAAACTACTATAGTGGCTGATCCATTTGAGTCAAGCGACACTCAAGACGCACAATCTACCGCGACCTCGGAGCGCACAGAAGACGCCATGTACTTTATAGCTGGTAAATACGACCCGGTGAATCGTCGCGTGCTGTCCTGGGATCCGGATATTGAGAAGCTGATCAAGCGGGATAAATGACAATCGGACACCATACGCGTCGCATCATTATTCATTCGCAATATCCAAACACCCGGTGGCATCATTTTTGTTGTAAGGCTGTGGACTCAATGTGACGCTCGACTGGTGTAACCCTTTTTCGAACCCCATCCATCCATTCTTTGAATCAAGTGTTTTATCGTGTTGGGTCTTAAGCTCATGGGGGAAATTACTGGTTAAACGAGCCAGTGCGTTTACGCATATTGCTCATGAATGCTTCACAAGAATACATTGAAGATGAACAATGTAAATAAGATAAACGTCGACATGCGAAGGGAGAAAGATATCAAGCGATTTTCTCTCTCTAGGACGTATAATACACGATGCTTGAGGTGATGTAAACACAGACAGAATGCGTTCAACTCGGCCTTTGTTCCATCTTGGTTTTTGGAGGTTTGAATCCGCTGAGGCTCTTGCTGCTCTTGGCTTTCTTCGTCTTGAAATCTCGCCAGCTTGCCACTCGATCGTTGCGACTTTCCTATATGGAATCGGAATGAACAGATACAGAAAGTATCACTGGTTTATATTGGTGAGAGAAAAAACGGATCATTGGTTTAACGACTAACTTGAAGTGCATTGGTGGGTGGTCACAGGCTAACAGTTGACTCTGTCTAAATTCGGATTCAAATTAAGCATCATTTGGTGAGGTCAAGAACATTTCAGAGCTATGAACTAAGTTCGAATCGGTGGTGCACTCGTTCGGCTGAGATATAACGCGAGCTAGCTTGACTACAGTAAACACAGCGTAGTTCACATAGCCGATTTGCGCTTCTGACAAATGACCTGACAAAAACATCGAAAAAGCAGATAAAAGAGCGGCTACGAATCGTAAACATTACTCTTCTACGTAAAGGTGGATTAAATTGGTCCAGCGACTTATAGGAGTAGACTCAATGGTGCAATCCTGCGATGA